AACTCATCATATCTAACTTGACATCTTAAAATTTGAAATTTTGAAAATCTTACAACTATTGATGTAATTAATCACATCTAACTTAACATTTTAAAATTCCTTAAATAAAAATGTATGTTATTAATTTGTCATATGTACTTTTAGCAAAATTTAAATGGAAACTTCGACAAGAATATGCAAAAAAATGAAGTAAAAACCTGTTTGCACCTATTTTTGCCAAGTCCTGTCCACAGGTGGTCCAGTTAGTGGAGGACATGTGGCCAAGTTTAGAGTGAATGTCAAGCATCAGAAGACCAAGAACAATAGTTGAAAGTGGATTTTTGCATGTGGATCAACTAGAAGTGATGGGGCAGTTACTAGCAATAATCATGGAGTTAGTGGGCAGCCTTTTCAAGAGGGAGCATGAAGCAAAGTGCAAGTTTCTCTCTGTGGAAGGAAGGTCAAAAGGACTTAGGGGCACGTGTTAACTTAAAGGGAATGAAGATCGACAGATGAAAGTGAAGGCTTGATGCAGTTCGAAGCTTAGGAAGTGGGGATGCAGTTGTGGCAGTTACACAGCAGCAGTTGCGGATTGAGGAGATCATAGGGACATGGAAGAGAGGAACTATAAGAGGCCAGAAATTTGCAGGGGCAAGGGACATCAACAACAACATAACAACTTAGTTTTTTAGATCTAGGAGTAGTTGAGATCATAATTTAGGAGTAGTTTTTGCTATTGTGGTTTGTAATCTGATGAACATAAGTAATTTCAGCATGAAGTTGCTTATGTTTGTTTAATCTACCTTGTTACCATCTATTGATACAATAATTTGAAGTTGTCTTCTTGCCATTTAATCTACCTTGTTACCATCTGTTTTTACAGAAAGTTTGTTTTCCTTCTTGTTTACTTACTATCAATTGATCCAACGAAGTCCTCATTTTTTGAGGCATTTGAACCAGAGCCACAATTGCTTGATTGTTCCCGTTTAAGTTGTATAGTTTAAATTATTATTTGGTGGTGGTCGATCCAATCCTAACATAATTTTTACTAACAAAACCCTAAATAAAATAAACCGAATTCTCCATTTATGAACATTTGCTTGCAATTATTTTTATTGTTTTCTTCTTCTTCTTTTTTGTTTCAATTTTTTTATAAAAATAATGAAATGTTTGAAATTACCTATTATTTCATATCATTTTCATATTTTTGTGAAAATAGGTGCTTTTTAAGAAGGTTATTGTTTTAAAGATTTTAGTTAACGAATTTCTTACCGTAAGTTTATACGTCTCCAAGAATATCCACGTCTTTTTTTTTTCATTGACCAAAGTTATTTGTTAAGAAAAAACACTTTTTAACAACAAGAATTGTGAGAGCTTTAATTTTAGGGATTTTTTTTATAAAAAATTTCAATATTAAGATTTTATAAGATAAAAGACATATAATATTTTTATAATAATTAAAGTCTCTCAATATTTTTATAGAAAAAATTTGACTCCAAGAAATTTTGCCCGACTCAAAGAAATTTCACATCGACTCCGAGATATTTCAATTTTCACAGAGAAATTTGAAATTTTGAAAATTTCTCTATGATCATACCAGAGAAATTTTGAAATTTCTCTGTGAAAATTGAAATTTCTCTTAATCGAGCGAAATTTTTCTGAGTCTATTTTTCTCTGTGAAAATATTGAGGGACCTTAGCCAAAAAAATATAAATATCTTGGACCTCTCCTACTACAAAAAGTTGATTAGGGATGTTTTACTAATTTTTTCTTAATTTAATAAACAAAGTTTTTAATTTGCTAAAAAAAAAAACATTTAATTGGTAACTATCCTATAAAATTTTTTTTAAAAATGAATACTATTCTATAATTTATGAAATTTTAAAAAGGAGTATCACCCATATATGGAATAAGAAAATTTAAAATTACGCATTTTTTAAAGATTTTTAGGCTATTTTTTTCAATATTTAATCTAATATTAAAACCCTCAAACTAGTTCGTACCAGTTACAAACTGATAAATTATAATATAATTTAAACATAAAGTTTAAATTTTTTATTATCAAATGTTTTCACTAATTAACCGATCAATTTTTTGGATTAAGTGTAAGATTAAGGCATCATTTGGCAACTCAATCTTTGAATCTAAAAGTCAAAAAGTCATTACAAAAATTAAAAGTCATCAACCTATGTCAAAAAGTTAAAAATTATCTTTTCTCTTTACTTTTTGCACATCTTTTTTTAAAAAATCAAAAAATCATTCCAAACTTATTTTTTTTATCTCATATTTTTGTTAAAAAAATTTAAAAGTTACCAAAATAGCAGTAGGTTCCCAAATGAGGCCTAAGTTCAGAATATGACTTATAAAATTTAGGGCAAATTACATATACACCCCTCGAGGTTTGGCTAAATTACAGATACCCCCCTGAGGTTTCGGAAATTACATCCCGCCCCCTGTCAAAAAGTTAAAAATTATCTTTTCTCTTTACTTTTTGCACATCTTTTTTTAAAAAATCAAAAAATCATTCCAAACTTATTTTTTTTATCTCATATTTTTGTTAAAAAAATTTAAAAGTTACCAAAATAGCAGTAGGTTCCCAAATGAGGCCTAAGTTCAGAATATGACTTATAATTTAATGAGCTCTATCTTAGATTTTTTTTTTATATGTAACTATTTATTTAATAGGTTTAAACATAAATATATAAACAAATCAAAAGTTTAAAATTTAAATTGACAAAATTATAAAATCAAGGTTTATTTTGTTAGAAGGGTCAAACCATTCTTTCTTTTCTTTTTTTCTTTTTTTGTTGTAATTTCCCCTACTTATTTTTGTTATAAAAAATACTTACAAATATTTATTTATCAATTTAATAAATAAATAGGTCAAATGATTCATAAGTTGGGCATAAGTCAAAGACAGTGTTTAATGATTGGGTGAATGCCAAATTGGCTTAAGATTGAGTCGATTGCCTTTTAATCACCTCTAATGTTTAGTCCAACTCTAACACTATAAGTCAATCCTAATCTATTCTTACGAAAGATTTATGACATAAGACAAATTATAACTTTGATGCATGAGTAGACAAATTTTTAAGTTTTACAAAAAAAAAAAGTTTATTGGCAAATGTGATTTACTACTATAACATAATAAATTAAAATTATGAAAGCCACAAGACGAAATATACTTATATATTTTATCATAAATATTATTTTTTAGTTTTACTAATTAAATTATGACATGTATTATTAAGAACTTAGAACATACAATTAATGACACAAGAATAACAAAAAAAAAAAAAATTCCTCTTATGTGTAACTCTAATAAAAACGAATAAAATTTAATTGATTCTAAATCATGTTTACTACATATTTTAAATAAATTTTATATTACTATTTAATTTAATTTTTAATTATTTATTTATACTCATATTATCCCGTTTATAACACGGATATTATGCTAATTTATATTTATATAAATTATACAATGGTGAGTTGCTAAGGATGAGAAATGGGAGTTCCAAATTTCATAATTAAAAAATAAAACAATCTATTGCTTTATAAATTTTAAAATTAAAAGATAATAAAATTTGAAATTTAAAACTTAAATTTTAATTAAAACAATCACTATCCATAGGACATTAATGATTTATCAAATCCCTTCTCCAAAAAAAAAATAAAAAATAAATAAAAAATAAATAAATTTACAGCTAAATAAAGAAATCTTGAGCCACGAAATATTGGTATAAAAGTCAACCCCAACTCAGCTCCTATGATACATTTAATATTCAACTCAGTTATAACACTCTGAAGTTAGCCCATACCCTTAACAACTTGATAAATTATAATATACTTTAAAATACATAGGCTAAATAATTTATGAGTTTAATATAAATCAAGACAATTCCTCAAAAATAGACTTGGGCCAAGAAATATTAGCATAAAAATCAATCCAAACTCGCTTTCACGCAATATTTAACATTTAATCAATTACTAACAATCCCAAGTTAACCCATTGTCACGTCTTGCCAAATATTCCTACGGAAATGTTAGAGAATTTGAGACTAATGAAAGAATCTATAATTCTCTAGAACAATCAAGAGACTTATAGAACATTGTATATAATTCTAAAAAAATATATAAATAAATCTAAAAGTGTGTATACTATTCTTGTATATTCTAAAGTAGGACATTTGAGAAGATGTAAGACGGATCTAAAATTCTCTCTATCTTTACATTTTTAGAGTGATGCTTGTAGCCCAAACCATAAGTGAATACAAGCAAAACTTTTTCCAAGAACTTTTCTCCCTAGAAAATATTTCTCTCAAGAATTCCTTGTGTGAATCTCTCTTAACTCTCTTTGAGGAAGCTTACTTATGCTGTGTTTGGTTGGGAGATTTGAGAAGGAAATAGAAAATGTAAGTGAAATGAGAAAAAAATATGCCTAAATTTCACATAGTTTCACATACCTTTTCCCTTTCCCTTTTCAAATCCCTTTCCAAATCTTCTAACCAAACACAACATTCGATGCAAACTAAGTGGGTGGCCAATTGGTTTTATGCAGTTAGCAATTGGGGTATGAGAATGGAAATGCTAACACAATTGCGGGCGTTCTGAGTAGATTCGAAACTGTGTTTTGCACTAATCAAGTATAGAAAATGTTACAGATATGATATTAATGTTAATAGGAGCTTAAATCTCTGGTTTTTATATTGTCTTTTTTGGGACTTTATTATATATATATATATATTTTTTTTTCTTTTTGTTTGAGCATTGTTATTGCAAAGAAGTAAAATTAGCTCCAACCAGCTTAGAAGAAAATAAAACACATTCCAATTCCTTAGGGAGTGGATTAGGCGACTTAGCTCCAATTCACTCAAACTAGCTTAGAAGAAAATAAAACACAATCCAATTCCTGTTCATTTACAACAAAATTAAGGGTGATTTTTATTATCAAAAGAAATTTAAAAAACTAAGTTATTTGAAAAAAAAAATTAAAAAGAAAAAAGAAGGAGAAGAAGATATGATGATGTTCTTCACAAATGGAATCTGAAATCCACAATGTTCATAGCATTTACTGTGTCTATCACCTGTCATTACAGAATTGTATCAACGCCTATCTGCACTCTATGCAATATCCAACTTTATAATCTACATTTGAATGAGCATTAGGAGCTAAAAAGACATGAAAAAAACCAAAAAAAATGGGAAGCCCATTTATAGCTAGCAAGTTTCAGCCTTCTAACCTATAAATGGAGGATGTCTAGGCAATCCAAAAGCCAAAATAGTCAAAAATTTCATAGTAAATATTTTCATGAACGGCGCGGGGTGCAGACATACAATTTCACCATTCCTGAACCAAGCGTTGTGTTTACAATAGCTTTTATCCAATGCCCATACTTTAAGATCCCCAGTTAGGAATGTTTGATGTAGCTTCGTTTACCATTTTCACCAGAGTAACCTGGATGGAGCAGAATAATTGTGAGTTACACCATGACTAAGTAATGTGATGACAAGATATCAATGTTTCTTAATCTGTTAATTATTGTGCATTTGAATGGGATAGAAATTGAAACTAATAACTTGGTGAGCATCCAAATAATGTGCAGGATAAATTGGATAGTTCAGCGACATCTTGCCATCCAAAGCTTCATTAGGAATAAGAAAAAAACTAAACAATTTTAAAACATTTACCCAAAGTAATATTATTGGGCAACATTTATACGCAAGTGAATTACCTTTATTCCAAACTAATTGTGGAACTTTAAACAGGTAGGTGACATTGGGGTGTTCACGGGTTGGTTCGGCTTAGATTTACCCTTAGCCCGTCAACCGAACAGACTCCTTTGGGTTACGAAACCAGTCATCCGTTGTCGACTGAATTGCACTTCGAAATCGACCGAATTAAATAACTCGGTTTGGTGGTCGGTTTGGTCGATTTCAAACATCTAGAATGGGTAGAAAAAATTGTGAAAAATGAAACTGACTCGTACATATATATATATACAGTTATAGATCTATGAAAGAGAGAGAAGTGAAAGAAAATGGGGAAAAATGGAGAGACAGATGGGGACACACTACTACTGCCATCGCCATAACTAATTGCTGCTCAAACGCCGGCACACCATCGCTCATCGCAGCCGCCACATCCACCATCGCCATCGCTCATCATCGCCGTTATTAACCACCTTGTCCGCCACCATCACCACCAGCGAAAGAAAGATAAGCACAGAGGAGAGAGAGAGAGAGAGAGAGAGAGAGAGAGAGAAGAGTAAGGAAGAGACTTCATTTTTGTTCTTCTTGGGATTCATGAGAGAGAGAGTAATGCCTATGGAAAATAGGAAACACATCTGCCAAAGCCACGGACTGTGTAGTCCAAGACAAGTATAACAACATATTAATATTATATTTTTAAAACAAAAATGCTAGAAATCTCAAAATTTCTACTAAATGTCTCACATGGGTGTGGGACCACATGAAACTCACATGATATGGGTCCCATACCATGTGAGATATTTGATAAAAATTTTAATAAAATTGTTGGGATCTGTAGCATTACTCTATTTAAAAATACCTCTTCATTTTATTGTGTTCAACTTTAGAATTTATGAGAGAGAACGTTTATGGGAAGTGAAAACAGTCATTGTAATCAATCTACTATGTGTAGTTCCAAGACAAATATATAATATTATATATTCAAAAATTATTTGGTCGGGCTGCGTTGACCGGGTGTACATATGGGAGATCTACTTCGAACCGCACATCTGCAAAAATCAACATGAAAAACCCACAGCCAACCATATCATTCTTCAAAACCGTCCGTGAGAGTCCAGGTTGGTTGAGGCAGGTTTTCGGATTTCATGAACAGCCCTAGGTGACAGGCTCATTACATGCTTCTATTTTACTTTCACACATTGAGTTCCTCGGTGCTCGTCCAGACCAAATCAATAATTAAGTTGCAAAATCCTTCTTGAAGTTTATTGCAAACTTATAAAGTGGTATTATATAGGTGCATTCTTGCATCAAGCCACAGGATGCAAAAGATGCCATAACCCCATATCAGATATTTTATGTTATGTTCAAATGAAATTGGTTCTGGTTATAGCTTTTTTTGGTTAAATAATTATGAAATTGAGACCCTAGAACTACTTTTTCTTTTTCTTTCACTTTTTTGGTTAAATAAGTGTCAACAAATGTTTTCAGTTGCAACCTGAAGACCTTTTTTTTTTGGGTGCCAAATATGCACATAGGAAGTACCTTCATAAGTATCAAAATTTAGAGAGAGATAGAGAGGAAAAACACTTGCAATTGAAGGTTAGCATTTCAATTATGAACCAAAACATACCACACTTTCTGCAACACCAGGTGGAGGCAATGGAAGATTTTTTGGAGGCCAGACAGTATCATAGGATCTTTTGTCAAATCTCCATTCTCCAATCTTTCCATAGGTCAACTTACCCTGAACATCATAAAATGAAATGTTGACATTAATAAGTGAAATAATATATTGAGGAACATGTTCCTCTCACACCCTGGGCCCCTTTCCCTCAATCCCCATAATTCCCTTCTTTCCCTTTGCTGGTATACTGGAAACAGATTCAATTGCTATATTTTTCATCAAAACACTTTTTTTTTTAATTTTGAATCTTCGTCATAACAAGGACTTAGAGAGAATGAATACCTTCATGTCATAATCACATCCATAAGTGTAATGAATGATGAACTTGTTGCCAATTTCTGTATCCCAGGGAGGCTGGAATGCATCACAAACAGCCAACTATGAGTAAAATAGTAGAAGAGCAAACGCACACATGTGAAAACTGTGAGAATATGTGTTCTCCTAGGATTAGGAATAAGTGTCCTATATCTATTAGACTTCTATATATCTCAGTGATGTGTCCATGTAGGGTTAGGAATTAGTGGTACTCTATATAAATGATGTATATATTCTTTATTCAATCAATTCAATCTAATATACAGTTGTGTTTAGAAAACTTATATGGTATTAGAGCTAGGTTTCAAACCCCAGCAGCCATCGTGAAATCCTTTCTGGTTCTAATTTCTAGTTCGACTCTGTTTTCTAGACTTGATCGAACTCCCTAGTTATCATCAAGTCAAGCCTATGCTTTGTTAGGCTCGCGAGACCCATTTGGTTCATCGAAGGTCATCTGATTCGAGAACCGGGTTCTTCTCTCTCTGGTTCTTTGGGTTCTTGATTTGTCTGTTTCATCGCGACACATCTGGGATCTGGGTGCAGGTTGTGAACCATCTTCGTAACCCGTCTAAGTCGCACAAACCCTCGTCGCAGTTCATCTGAGTCGAGAGGACTCTGGTCATTTGTCTCTGCCTCTTTCGTGCCTCACGCGAAGGTCTGCTCTTGGCGACGATAGCTGATCTTCTCTTCTCCGACGATAGCTAGTCGTCTTGGGTGACCCATCTGGTCGACCCATCGGTTCGAAGTGGTCACTATGCTTCGATAGCTGATCTTCTCTCTCTGGTTTTTCTTCAATCTATTCCTGAATTTGATCTTTGGTTATACTTTGGTTATATTTTGGGTTTATTACATTTTAACCCCTGTTTTGCTCTATTTTAAACCCCTCAGTTTTCTATTTATTATTATGATGTCTTTGGCTTCGAATGAGTATGCCTTCTGCCATCAGATGGGACATTGGAAGTATCAGTGTTCTAAGAAGAGACGTATGCATGCTCCATCTTCTCAGCAGTCTCCGACACAGTTCCGAGCTCCACCTCTAAGTTCTTCTCAGTCTCCGATTGCATACACTGTCTCTGCTCCGACTCCTGATCCTAACTTGGCTTCCTCGAGTGCTCAAATTAGCCAGCTTCAGCATATACTGTCTACCTCCCAGCCATCCCCGTCTGCTTCAGTTGTTTCCTCTCTTCATTCAGGTTTGCTTAGGTCTTCTTCAGGTATTTCTTCGTCTATCTGGCTTTTTGACTCTGGTGCCTCTCATCATATGACTCCTCATCTCTCTTTACTTCAAAATTGTATTCCTCTTCCCTTTCCTATTACTGTTAATGGTGCTAATGGGTCTGGTATGTCAGTTATATCTGTTGAGTCTGTCCTATCGTTTGCTATGTCTGCAGTCTCTATTCCGCCTGTCTTATATGTTTCTCAGTTGTCTGTCAGTTTATTATCTATTAGTCAACTTAATGCCTCTGGTTTTGATATTATCTTTTCTTCTTCTATCTGTTCTATGCAGGATCGGATGTCCAAGCAGCAGATTGGGACTGGCCGTAGAGTTGGAGACCTTTATGTAGTAGAGAACTTGCATCTGCCTATGACTACCTCTCCAACTGCCTTTTCTTCTTTTCAGTTAGATTCTCTGTCCAGTCCTTTCTATTTGTGGCATTCCAGATTAGGGCATTTGTCTGCTGACCGCTTACGGTCTTTAGCTCAGTCAGGTATATTGGGTAAAGTTTCTCCTAGTCAACTTACCGAGTGTCGGGGGTGTAAACTTGCCAAAATGACAGCCTTACCTTTCCGTAACAGTACTTCTATATCTGTACACTGTTTTCTTTAGTTCATACTGATGTTTTGGGTCCTTCTCCTGTTCTCACCAAGGGGGTTCTGCATACTATGTGTCATTTGTTGATGATTGCACTCGTTACACTTGGGTTTATCTTATGACTCATAAGTCCGATTTCTATCAGATATACCGTACCTTTCAGTCTATGATTACTACTTAGTTTGGGTCTACTATTAAAGTGTTACGGTTTGATTTAGGTGGGGAATATTTTAAAAATGAGTTTTGTGAGTGTTTGGCCAATTTGGGTACCATTCATCAAACTTCCTGTATAGATACACCTGTCCAAAATGGTCGAGCCGAGCGTAAACACCGTCATCTCCTTGAGACAGCTAGGTCTCTTCTTCTCTCTGCCTCAGTTCCGGCTCCATTCTGGGGGGAGGCAGTTCTTACTGCTGCTTTTCTTCTCAACCGCATGCCTACTCCCCTTCTTTCTGGTCGGTCTCCTTATGAGACTTTGTTCTCCCACATTCCTAACTACTCCCTTCTTCGTGTGTTTGGGTCTGCCTGTTTTGTCCTTCTTCCCCGCAAAGATAGGACCAAACTTAGTGCTCGGTCTGTCCTTTGCGTCTTTTTGGGTTACAGTCTTACTTAAAAAGGCTACCGTTGTTACGATCCTGTCTCTCGTCGCCTTTATGTCTCCCGTCATGTTGCCTTTCTCGAACATTTGTCTTACTTTCAGCTTCCCCCCTCTCACTGCTCCAGTTTCCAAAGAGGATTTGGTTCACATTAACCCCTTTCCTTTTGAGGTCCCGTCTGATGAGTACATTTCCAATGTTCCTGTTGAGTCCATTCGTATTTCTCCGTCTACGTCACCTATGGCTTCTTCTCCCCCTCCGTTGTTGGTCTATTCTCGTCGTCAGGCTCCCCCACCACCAGTTGTCTCTACTCCTGTTGCTGCTCATTCTGCTTCTGATGACTCTGATCCTGCTACACACCGATATCCTACTCGTGAGCGTCGTCCTTCAAACAGGTTGGGTTGGTCTAATACATGTTTTTCTGCTTCCTATCGTACTTTTTTGTCTGTTATTCATTCTTTTTCAGAACCACAATCTTACACGGAGGCCTGTCAGGATCCTAATTGGGTTCAAGTTATGGAGGATGAGTTGTTTGCCTTATAGAAGACTAACACTTAGGAGTTAGTTCCTTTGCCTGCTGGCAAGAACCTCGTTGGTTGCAAATGGGTCTATAAAGTCAAGACTCATTCTGATGGTTCTCTCGAGCGCTACAAAGCTCGTTTGGTTGACAAGGGTTTCTCACAAGAGTATGGTATTGATTATGAGGAGACCTTTGCACCTGTTGCCAAGATGACTACTGTCCGTACCTTGATTTCTGTTGCTGCTGTTCGACATTGGCCTCTCTATCAGATGGACGTTAAGAATGCTTTTCTTAACGGTTATCTCACTGAGGAGGTCTACATGCGTCCTCCCCATGGTCGTCCCCATTCCTCTGTCCAAGTTTGTCGTCTTCAGTGTGCTCTGTATGGTCTGAAGTAGTCTCCTCATGCTTGGTATGATAGCTTTCAGACTGCTGTTACCGAGCTTAAGTTTCATTCTTCTGCTTCCGACTCTGCTTTATTTCTGAGACATACATCGGCTGGTTTTGTTGCTCTCTTACTCTATGTGGATGATATGATCATCATTGGCTCTGACTCTTCTACTATCTCTGAGGTCAAGCAGCATTTCTTTCGCACCTTTGAAATGAAATCTAAGTCGGTTACGGTATTTTCTTGGTATTGAGGTTGCTTCTTCTCCAAAGTGCTATTTTCTGTCTCAAGCTAAGTGTGCTAATGAAGTCATTCACCGTACTGGTCTTACCGATACTAAGGTTTCTGATACACCTATTGAGCTTAATGTGAAGCTTAATTCTACCGATGGTGTCCCTCTGGATGCTCCTACTTTATATCGCAAGCTTGTGGGCTGTTTAGTTTATCTGACTGTCACTCGCCCTGATCTTGCTTATGCTGTTCATGTGGTTAGTCAGTTCGTTTCTGCTCCTCGTTCTACCCATTGGACTGCTTTGGTTCGCATTCTTCGCTATCTCAGGGGTACCATATTTCAAGGCTTACTATTGTCCCCTACTTCTTCTTTGGACTTGGTGGCCTATGCTGACTCTGATTGGGCTGGTGATGTTACTGATCGCAAGTCTACGTCTGATTTCTGTATGTTTCTTGGTGATTCCTTAATCTCTTGGAAAAGTAAGAAACAATTAGTCGTTGCCCGCTCTACTGCCGAAGCTGAGTATCGTGCTATGGCTCATGCCACTGCTGAGATTGTTTGGCTTCGTTGTCTTTTGTTTGATTTGGGTGTCTCTCAGTCTTCTCCGACCTCTCTCTATTGTGACAACCGCAGTGCTGTTCAGATTGCCTACAATACTGTCTTCCATGAGCGGACAAAACACATTGAGATTGATTGTCACTTTGTTCGCCAACATCTGCAGTCTGCCTCTATCTCGCTTCCTTTCATCCCTTCAACTTTGCAACTTGCGGACTTCTTCACCAAGACTCACACTACTGCTCGGTTTCAATTTCTTCTTAGCAAACTCTCCGTGTTTTCTGCTAAAACACCTTGAGTTTGAGCGGGGGTGTGAGAATATGTGTTCTCCTAGGATTAGGAATAAGTGTCCTATATCTATGAGACTTCTATATATCTCAGTGATGTATCCATGTAGGGTTAGGAATTAGTGGTACTCTATATAAATGATGTATGTATTCTTTGTTCAATCAATTCAATCTAATATACAGTTGTGTTTAGAAAACTTACAAAAACTTCACCTTAATCAAAAGCTATCACCATGATCAATGTATGTATATTTTTTGATAAGTTCGGTCTATTACAAATACACTATTGAGAGAAAAGAAAACAGATTGTGTTACTCTTCAATGATATCTTTTTACAATGCATAAAGCTTTTAAATATATAAGAAAACCCTAGAACCACTCTAGAATACAATTATCCCAAAGGGAAACAAAAGCGTTTGTCAAATAAGAAGCACAAGCGAGCAAACGTACGAGTCTTGGTGAATAAATCTGCAATCTATGAAGAGGATGAAACAAAAGGCAAAGCAATAGTGTCGAGCTGAAGATGCTGACGAACAAAATGACAATCAATCTCGATGTTCTTCCAGCGCTTGTGAAACATGGAATTGTATGCAATTTGGATGGCACTCTAAGCGGCTAGAAATGGAATGGGTAGCTATTGAGGAAGGGGGTTATAGATGGGAGACAGCCGAGCTCACATGTTTTCTAGTCTGCCATTTCTTTTGCAAATTATGATGCGGGGACTAAAGCTTTCGATGAGTTATGCCATGTATATGGGATTAACTGGGGGGATTAATACCCACCGCATAGGTGGGATTAGGGAATTAGGTCTGTCTAGATTATTTTCCTTGTTCTTCCAATGGTAAAAAATAATTATGTCTTCTTATCCGATCATTTATCCCATCCTAACCACCGTATCTATGTTACCAGAAAAAGCTAATACCCTAGCGAATTACGTATTGGTACACACATTCCAAAACATTGTTCACTTCCGTTCCAAAACGGTAAATTTACTGATCCGAAGCAATCCTCAAATTTTTTTCCAATATATTTCCTTAAATGTTAACTTAGGTTAAAAAAAAAATATATATATATATATATATGAACTAAAATCTACGATGAGTTAAGTTTTGACAAGACAAAAAATAAAAAATGAGTCATAATTTTCATAGAAATGATTTGCTACATGCAAGAACAAGAAAAAATATTTATTAGATACTTAATTGTTAAAAGAAAATTACTCTAGAAGTACCTTAACTTCTTAAGTGTAATATATATAAGTCTACTCCTATTATACCACATTTTAGAGCATGTGACGTACCCCGTTCCCATTCCCGTTCCATGTACAGGAACGATCCACGTTTTATGTAACATAGCACCGTATATCCAATTCTTCATCCCACGATATACTACCCTATCCCCATAAATCCTACCATTTATTCAATCCTTTATGACACACATCCCCATAGTATAATTTACCTTCCATAATCCTATTAATAATCTTGTTCATATCCAATCCTGTAAAACATAATGTGTATCAAACGAGCCCTTAGGGGACACATGAGACACATTACAATTTTAAACAAAATAACTCAGGATACAATGCTAAAAAGAAAACAATGCATGTTTATACCTACTAATCTCTCCTCTTTGACAGTTTGACCATTTGATGGCAAAATGATAATTTTATTAATTTTCTAAGGTTGTTGAATCAGGTGCGAAAAACCCATATTCGATCTGACACGACCCAAAGAGTACAACTCACAGCTTTGCCATGCTCGTGTTAGATTTTGGGAAAATTCCATCATTTAGACCTCCAAATTAAAAAAATTTACTATTTTTGGGAAAGATTTGAATGCTTAGTTTCTGGGTCTAGCTTGGGTTAGGCTAGGTTGTGTTGCTTGATGAAAGAAGTTGATCTAGGTGGCTCAGCTGGACTCCTTGTGCCAGTTTATCTCTTCCTTATTCGAATGAAGGTGAATGGCAAAGTTTAGTTCAACAAAGGAGTAGGTTGTCCTATCTAATTAAGCTAGTAAATTAAAATATAAATTTTTTTTTTACTAGGGTTGCAGGAAGTCTCTCTCATGTTGTGCTATTACCCCTAATGCGGTAGTGGACTTGCTTTGCCCTTCAATAAAAATGAACAGCTTCAGTTTATGGTTGGCATAAGAAAATGTTGGAGGTGATGAATTGTTCTACACGCTCATTCACTTCTAACTTCTAAGGGCTCATTGTATTCTTCAAGTTGTCAACGTCGGTTGTTTGAAAGGGATTTACAAACTGGATGATTTCAAATCCAACAAGGCTAAACTCCTGTGCAACAAGTAACCGTCTTACTAGATTGAGAGGAACTCTTCAAATCCATTTTGAATCACTGTTTTTTTTTTTTTTGGTTTGAAATTTCCTTTTTGTTCTAGATTCTATATATGAGCTTAACTCAAATATGCTATTTTGAGTCGTTTTTGACTCAATGTAATTTTGGCTTAATTTGGGGCTTGGTCACAAAGCAACATTTACGATAAATTGGGTTGTAAGCCTTTTGAGGTTGGTCTTCTTTTTTTTTCTTTTTTTTTTTTTGGATAAATAAATTCTATTGAGGTTGGTCTGTCATTGATTGAGTAATAAAATTCATAGAAAGTTTTCTACTTTCTATATTGTTCTTGTTTTCCTTGTGTTTTTTCGTTCATTTCATATGCTTCCATGCATCAATATCCAAAGAAGAGGTAAGAGCTTTGGAGTTCCATAAACATGTATTAAGGCTAGAGGTTCTTCCATCTCTCCCCGAACCTTGTGTTCTGAGTTCTGAATAAACCCCTCTTTAATATTCTCTTGTAAAACCTCACCTATATTTATACTAGATTTTGCCAAAGCACAAAAAAATTGCTTAGCTCTAACAGTTTGTACCTCAGTTTGTACCTTTAAAAAGAAAAAACCCAACATTGCATTGGCAATAGACTCAACCTAATCCAACTTGTTGTGACCCTTTGGAATTGTGTCAAAGAAGTGGAAGGCTAAAACTTAATGCTGAACTTAACAAGTCTTAAGACCCATAAAAAATGAATTTGTGTACATATATATATATATATAACATATACATATTATCAAACCTGAATCATGAAGTCCTTGTACAAGATGTTACCCACTCCGTGTAGAGCAGATGCAACAGCATAAGCATACCTGCATATTTGTGATAAAACATGAGGATGGATGAAACTAGCCATCGGAATAGAAGAACATCAGGCTTACAAAACCTTACATTTCAAGGACCCAACCAAACTTTTTATCCGCTTCAGGATCCTTTTTCATTGCCAAGGAAACATTCATCCAAGTGGGAGCTATCTTTTTAAGAGATTCCTAGCACCATTCCATAAGCAATGAGTTATAGACAAAAATCAAAAGGAAGTTAACACTAACTACGAAGCCTCAAAGAAGATATATGTACCTTTCCAATGATGACAGGAGAATTTCCTATTGGATCAATATTGGTTATTGGTCCCTTGTCCTCAGGAAAGAACTTTCTGAGAATAGACTCAAACTTTATAGGTTCAATATAAAAGAAAGGGAATGCAGCTCCAAGGCCATCTGTGGATAGGTTTGGTATGGGCTTAACTATAATATGATCTGGCTCTGCCATCAATATGTAGCTGCAAAAAATTATGAACTACATTTACTAGACGTACTCATTTAAGTGCAAAAATTGATTAAGAAATCATGTTAAGCCAAAATGAGAAAGTTGAATTTTTCTGTACTCTTCTTTGATGTCCGCCTGCTGAAGCCATTGTACAAATGCCCAAGGTCTATTAAGAACAATATAACCCTGTAATTGTAAAGTGAAAGGATAGTCATAATGTAATAAATCAACAGAATAAAATATATAGTTGTAATCAAACAAACTGGAAGCAATGCATTCTTTTAATTCATGATCGTCATTTCCCCCCAGCAAGTAAGGTAAAATTACAATTTGACCTTTCTCTGTTGCACTCAAAATTATAGGCTTGTATACTTCTTGAGATAAAAATATTGGAGAACCACCTTCGAGTTCTTAGTTACTAATTGTGTGAGTGAAAAGCGTATCAATTTAAAAGCCAATTTTGTAATTCACAGCCAACGGTTATTGTCCTGCTTTCTTTGGGCATGAAACAAGATTGACTTCGAAAGACTTGAGATTGCAAGGACTAGCGCATTCTTTATATTTCATATTGACAACAAATGCTTCTTAAAACCAGACATAGGTACTAATTGGGTTGGACATGGGTGCTCATTTAAACATGTTTAAATGGATACCAACCTTTCCCACCACTAACTCAACCACACCACCACAACTGCACCGCCACAACACCTCCACCACTGCTGCCACTCACCAATTTGCCCAACTCGTATCCAATTCAATCCAAACCACTTGAATCCATTTATTAAATGAGGGATTTATGTTGGGTTTTTTAAATGCACAATCTGTTTTGACTTGCCCATACTCGCCGGTTTGCCACCTCTACTTTTTTGTACTGTCTTGACCTCGCATATCCTTCATAAATACATGGACTACATTATTTCTCTAATGACTTCAACCAGCTCCTTGCTTAGTCTTTTTACAAATAATTGTTTCTTCTTTGCCTTGATTGAAGCATGAAAATGTGTCTTTACTATCAATGAGAAAGGCTTCATACATTCAGTCATTTTTAACATATAGAAGATCTTATTATAAGTCAAGAGTCCAATGATATCCTAATTAAAACTTCAAAAAGTCTCCTTGCACATAAATATAACACAGAAAGTTTCACAGATCTAACTACTTATTACAGTAAAAAGTATGTGGAATAAAGGTAATAAAAATCCCAACCCCCCACCCAATAGCAAACACATAACTGATTAAAATTGAAACCGAATCCTTCTAAGCACCACCAATGGGAAGTTTGTAGCATCTTTTCCACTTCTAGTCATCAAATTTCACAAGAAATTAAGGAAAACACACACACACACACAAAGAAAAAGAAAAAGGAAAAAGAAACAAAGAAACCCAGAAAGAAAATAATGAAAAATCAGTTGAATTTGTGTATTTCCCAAATTTGAAGATAATTTTGTTTGAATAGAATAACAATCACTAAAGCATAAATTCAGCTGATTTATTTTTAGGGATTAATAGAATCAAATTGAATTGAAGAAATTGGAAGAAAGATAACCCATGAATACCTGATCAGTTCCAGGTGGGAGAAGCTGAGCAACAAAAGTTGGGATCTCATCCATGAACCTGTCAGGCTTCCCAGAATGCAAGATCCTTGTGAACCCACCCATCTCGGAATTGGGTTCATCCTTGAATTTCTTGAACCAGTAGTACATGATTCTACACTGCCATGTATTGTACACTGAATCAGAGGATGTTACTGCTGTGTGGAACAGCCTCTTATTCTTGGCTTGTCTCGATCTATCCACAGGCATTTTGATTATTGGGTCGATTGATATGAACTCATTTGATGATGGGTTTGATGAAACAGGGAATTGTTGTTGAAGAGGGGCATTTACTGAGATAAGCACATTGTATGTGATCAGAGCTACTGAGAAGGTTATGATCAGAGTTAAGAACAAATTCCCACAACCCATCTCTCTCTCTCTCTCTCGAATCGGAGAGAGGAACAAGATGGCTGACTTCTAGGTGAGCTGCGGTTGAAGAAAAGTGGTGGCCGGGCCAGTTGAGCTATAGGCCAGTTTGTTTTCACGAGGGGAATGGAGGGGAGTTAAAGGGGATTAATAGTACTGTGTTTGTGTTTGGAAACACAAGAGAAAAGAAAATAAATAATTATTTAAATAATAAGAGAAAAGAAAAGAAATGAAATTATTGTGATTTTTCTTATTTTTGTTTGGATAAGGAAGAAATAAAAGAAAAGAAATGATTATGATTATGATTATGATTTATCTCATTCTTATTTGATTAGATTTCATTAAGAAAAAAGAAAATAAATTATTTTATGTTATATTACCAAAATAATCTTTTTATATTTTCAATCATTTCATTTCTTTTATTTTTATAGGGACAAAATTGATATTATAAAAATAGTGATTTTTTTTCTCTCCCAATCTCTTCATTTTTGAAAAGATTGAAAATGAGACTTATAAGAGAAATGAGTTTCTCTCTATTTCTTTCAATTTCTTTCTATTTCTCTCCACTTAGGTTATCCAAACAAGTAAGAGAAATGCATATCTCTCAATTTCTTTTCTTTTCTCTCCAAATCACTCAATCCAAATATAGCGAGTAAAATTGTGTTTGTTTTGATGATAGTTGTTACTGTACGAATTGTTAAATTATTTTTATATAAAATAATAAAATAAATAAAAAAATATAAAAAATTAAATATTAATATTTATAAAAATATTCCCAATATAAAAAAAATAAAAAAATTTATAATCCCCTCATTATTTTTCTAATACCATCTTTCCAACTTCCATCTCAATCCCTTTCCCAACCTCCATTTATATCACTTCTACCATCCTAATCACCTCCCCAACTCTACAAATAAACACAACACTAAATAACACATCCAGTATTCTAATCCCCTCCCATCTACTTAACCCCAAAACAAACGGGCCCATATAGCCTTCGCTTGGGTATGGGTTGAGGTTTTGACTTTCTAGGTTTTGATTATTAATTTGGGGTTATAAAAGTGTTAATTGGAATAGATTTTTTATTCTATTAGATTAAAAATTTTATTTTGTCTTTTTATAATTAAAATAATGCCAACCCAACCTAAACCTTCATGCCAAACATAGCTATACAGTGAGTGTTTGAAAAGTGACTATTTTAGAGGCCTTTTTTGACTTTTTTGCTATTTTAATAGATTATTTTAGTTTTTGTTGTATTAAAAAATACGTTTGAAATGATATTTGAGATTAAAATAACAAATTTATCCCTAACTTTATTTTTTCCAAAATTGGCCTATAGGGGCAAAAGTGTTATTTCAGCCTGTAGGACTAGGCTGGCCCTACCCACTGTCGGCGGTAGGCTGCATTGTTTTTTTTTTTTTTTTAAATATAAATTATTAGTTTAGTAGGTTATTTGGTTTTTTTATATATTTGAGGCTATTTTAGCCTCAACTTTGGGTTGCCAAACACACCCATAGTCTTCGTTTGGGTTATAAGTTGACTTTTTGACTTTTTAATTATTTTAACTTGGAACTAAAAATTTTGTTTGGAATAGACATTTTGATTTGTTAAATTTTTATGAGAGAAAAAATAAAATAATTATGATTTTAATGTGAAATTTAATCTAATGAGATTAAAAATTTTATTTCATCGTTTTATGATTAAAATAATCCCAATTCAACTTAAACCTTAATGCCAAACATAGTCCCACTACAAGACTCATAATATATTTTAAACATGTTTCTCGACTCTTTACATTTTGAAGATTTCCCACGATGACCCAATCTTGAAAAATCACTCCAAGGGTCGACATCAATAATTGACGCTCCAGCAAAAGTGTCACGACCCCAAACCGCCCCTAGTAGTTTGGTGCCGTGATGGCCAGTAATCCGTAATTACCGAAGGCCAACCTTTCAAAACTTAACACAATCAGAGTACGAATATAGGGGGCTCACAAATGCGGAAGCGATAAATCAATTACAAGCGGTCCATAAGAGCTGTGCGTAGATTAAAGCAGTGCCAAACATTTCCAATTAACTTCACAATTAAAATACAACAAGGTACAAAATACATGTTACATCTTGATCAAAAGGCTTCTCGAGCCGACATGTACAAAATACAGCAATACAAGTCAAGAAGCATGATTTTCAAGAATTCGCCGACATGCAAAACAGGGCATCGCCGAAAGCGATCTAAGAATTCGC